CGGAACTAAATGTTGACTATTTAATGAACAAACAACGATATTATGATGAATTAAAGTTAAAAAAAATGTTGATTTTTGCTCCGTATCAAGTTATGAACCCCTAAAAGAAGAGTATTTGTTTTTATTATATTCCCGGTGGTGAAACATTACCATAGGACATTTATTTAGGATCGAGATCAGATATTTAAAATAGAAAGCAAACCGACCTTGATTCCAGCCGTAGGTTGTTTCAAAAAACACCAACAGAATCCAAACTGTCTGATAAATCAGCTCCATGTCATCAGTCTAACAGCTTTATAAGCTTTGACTGGTTTTCTGCAGAAGAAACGTCCAAACAAACAGTATCGTCTCCTTCTCAATGGCTGACAGCTTCTTGTTTGTTTCGGTGTGGCAGTGCGAAAGCTCCACTTCCGGATACGTCATCGCTCTGGTCCAGAAGCTGTAGCAGAGCGCCCCCTGCTGTACATTAACTCACCCTGCAGGCGGCTACATTTAGCCTGTGAGCGCTAGGCCGATTATAACTAAATTATATCTTTATAAAGTGCTTTGAGATTAAACGTGCTGTTTACCTGCGCTGTATAAATAAACTGAAGTAAAAAGTTCAGAATTTATCCACAGGATTTTTAGTTTAGACATCAGTGTAAAAATCCATCAGTTTACACATAAAATAACGTAGGGTACAACGCACAAATGAAATACAAAACTATCATCAGACTTTATTGTAATTGACAATATTTCACAGTCATTTTATTAAGTATATTTAGAAAAAAAATCCACCAGGGCTGCCAACTTTTCACCAAACTTTCACTGCAAAAAAAATAAATGTAGATAAGTCATTTTTTCAAAATAAGTGCATTTTGTCTTGAATTGAGGAGGTAAGTGAGACACTGCCAATGGAACAAGACAATTTACATTTATAATAAGAAAAAAACTATTAACTTTTCTTATTTCAAGTGCATTTTATCCAATTATAATTTTCTTATTTTGATAGTAAAATCCTCATTCCATTGGCAAATCATCCCTTTTACACACCCAAATTAAATACACTGAAGATTTTTGTTTTACTTATTTTTTACGTATTTTTTATTTATTTATTTTTTTTGCAGTGTTGGAGTGAGATTTTGAAATAGTTTGGACAGGCAACCCTTGTTAGATGAAAGGTTTTCAGAGGATTTAACTGAAACAGTTTCAAAATGTGGCATTTTTTTATACAACAGTAAATGTGACTGAGTAACAATAACTAATCTCTAGTTATGTGGAACATTTTTACTTGCATCTTAAATATACTGTAAACTAAGAATTTAACAATTTTGTATAATAATTATTCTGTAGAGTTCAAGTAAATAAAAACAAGGGAAATAAGTTATTACTGGATAATTGGCACCAATACAGGAACCAGAGCAATTGAATCCAGTGCAAAGTACACCGTGTATGAATCTTTGGTAATAAACTAATGACTAAAAAGCTTCACTCATTATGTTATTAGTTTTTTTTTTCTTACAATTGATAAAACAGTTGTTTAATTCAGACCTTCCAGAAGGCTGTAGATTCCATAAAAATACACACAAGACAGCCTTTTCCTGAATGTTTAATTTGGGAAAATGTTATGGAAATTAAGTTTTTAGACATATTTAATGAACCAAAATAAGGATAAATGAATAAGGTCAGTAGTAATAAAATGAGAACATCCCTCTGGTTCCTCATCTATGGATGACTGAGTTGTTCTGCACATCCTCGCTGTGTCTTACCTAGTAGGTCTTTTCTTGGGTTGGCTGATCTTTTGAAAAATAAAATGTAATGGTTCTTTTTCTTTTTTTTGTGGACCTCTTATGGGTTTGTGAGGCAAACCTGAAAGCTTTAAGAATTTAGATATTTGTGTTGGTTTAATTAGTCCTAAAATCGAACTAAATCTGGAGGGTAAACTAGAGCAAACTAGGAGTAAAGCTTACTAAAAAGAAACACTAGATGTAGAGAAAACAAATCATTTGATATCAATTTGATGTCATCCTACACTTGATAATTCTCCACTTCGATCATTGAAAGCTTCTAGTTATAGTGGCTCAGGTTATCCTGAGCTATCTCTATAGTTATGCTGC